AAATCCAAAAAACTCAAATCGGAACTAACTGGAGATACTAATCCAAAACAAATGATATATTTGGAGTACTAAATAGCAATTTCAATGATTTGGGCGACTAATCCAAAGCATGAAAGATTTGAGAGACTAATATCGAAATAACCTTTATCTAGTATAAAGAATAATTAGGGTCTGTTCGTTTGCCTAAAAAAAGAGGGAAATCAAAGAAAATGAAACCTATTTCTAAGAAAAATAGGTTTTTGAATTGTTTGGTTGGCTAAAAAAAAAGGAAATCAAAGAAATGAAGATGAGATGAGATGAGTTGTCACATTATTATTGGATGATGTGAGTGATTTTTTAAGAAAACTAGTTTTGATGTTGTTTGGTTGGCAAAAAAAATAAGGAAATGAATTATAAGAAACCTATTTCCTGTAGTTTGTTGTTTTCTTTTGTTTGGTTCATTCTTAAAAATAAGAAATGAAATGAGATGAGATGAGTTGTCATTGTATTATTGGGTGGTGTGACCCACACTTAAGAAAAATGTTTTCACAACTTTTTGGGATGAAAACAAAGAAATGAAATGTTAATGAGATGAGGTGAATTGTTATAATATTTTATTGGATGATATGAGTGATTTGAAATGATGAGAAGAGATGAGTTGAGTGATGTTTGGATGAAAATAATATTTTATTAGATGTGATGGATGAGTTGTTAGATGAAAATAATATTTTATTAGATGTGATGGATGAGTGGTTAGATGAAAATAATATTTTATTAGATGATGTGGAAGAGTTGTTGGATGAAAATAATATTTTATTAGATGTTGTGGGTGAGTTTTAGGGATGGAAATGGAAGAAATAGTACTTTTTGAGATTTTCACCTTTTCCATTTCCATTTCTTGATTTTTAGGAAATAGACCCTAAGGTAATTTCCACCCACCCTTTAGCAAAATCAAACAGATGTCAGTTGTCTATGTTGATGTTCAGATGAAAATGACAATAATCCTCAAGTTAACCTACCACTTAAACTGATTAATAGTTATTACAGAAATCTGGGAAATGCAGCAGTGGTTTCAATGCTCTTTTCAACATTAGTTAAAAGTATAATTCGGTAATGATTTTTTTCAAAATTTTGTTACTTTGTAGACAACAGGGATGCAAAATGGTTATAGACATTCACCGTATCAATATTCAGATATATCAAATGTATTGATGGACTCTCATTTAAATTTAATGCATCTGTTATATTTAAGCATCTTTTCTATCACATTATTTACATATGTCTCAATCTTACATGTTTTGTTCTTATACAAGTTTTATGTTTGTCTATATTTCAGCTTATATGATCCGTATCAATGTTCGATTTTGTTCGATTTTGACAGATAATGGATACGGACTGTGAGTTTTACATAGTGAACCCTAACCATATTCATAATTAGTAAGCTGGATATGTATAAGCTAAGTATCATATCCGATTCATATCTAACCCGTTTGCACCCCTAGTAAACAATCCAAAATTCAATGCTTCATGTCTATAACTATGGGATGGGCATACAGATTCAAATTCCATAGTATACTCCTGGAACTTTCATAAAAGTCACCACCCCCTCCAACCCGTGATGGGATGGGGAAAGGAAAAATCCTGTTGAATCATGTAACCTTAACTAAATTTCAATAAATTGTGAACTTAGTAAACAGGAAAGGGAAGTACAACATAAACGACCACCTTGCAGAAAACAGTAGCTTTCTTGTGATTAACAATAATCTTAAGATTTAAAGGTAATGCAATAATGTTTGCGACGAATGTAGATAAACCTTGGTCTAAGGAACGAGATTTCTTCATATTAACATAGTTAGCCTCATATAAAGCCTATGCACAACTGCACTAGCTGACACTAAATAAAAAAGCTATAAACTTGGTTAAAAATGTTATGCTTGCTTGTAGTATGCACAAAATATGTATTGATTTCTTGCATGTGAACTTAAGTTGATATGATGAGGAAAATGTACCTATACAAAGTATTATCAGTCTGATGCTTAACACTTCACCATGGAACCATTGAGAATCTTGAAAATATTTTAGAATTATACTTAGAGTGCTTCTCAATTTTCAAAGGCACCAAAAATTTATTAAATTGAGTTCTAGGAACTATGATATAAATATTATTAGATAGTAGTAATCTTCAACTCATTGCATTTATTTTCTATGAACAGCATGTTGGATGTTCTTGTAGAAGATATATGTATCAGTTATGAAAGAGAACAGAAGGGTGTAATGTTTACTTTGAAAATATGAAAAAGATAGGATGAATATTCAATGAATACCTGAGCAAAAGCATAAGGCATGCAAGAATACATCCCGGATGATCTTTCTCGATAGAACACGGTCCTCTCCATTGCCACATAAGGCTGCACTATGCTAGAATTCGCAAAGCCTAAGAACATTGCTGATGCATAGACAGCTCCTAGGATGTTGAAGATATCTTGTTCTGAAGTACTGTCATTGAAAAAGAACTATGAGTTTACAAAATTTCATAAAATGAAAGGGATATATTGCTTCAAACTTACATTTTGGAGCCAACTTGCCAAAAGACAAGGCCAAATAGCAGCGCAACCATGAAAGTATTTACAAAACGAACAACATTATGTTCTGGGTTTTTCCAGTATGATTTGAGATGTTTCCATAAGCATGCTACAAATTGATATTGAAGATTCTGCTCATACTTCGATGTGAAATGTAGATCATTGGAATCCTTTCTTTTGCTTAACTCTTCAACCTGTTTCATATTTTCTCTGTGGACATTGATTTACACGTTAGAAGTAGTTGATAGCAGTATTGTAATCTTCAAACATTGATTATCTATCAATCATCCTTACTCGTATACAGAAGAGTTTTGGAAAATGTCTGCATAATCTACAGAAATAGTATATTCCATTGCAGGAGAACTAACATCTAACATCCATGCTGCTGGATTCTGGCCATTTTTCATCTTAGGACATCTTGGGATAGCCTGCATAAGGAAGCATGAGGAAATTTCTATACACACTCGATGAGGCTGAGAAAATACAATTCAACAGTGGATTCTTACTTCAAAGTACTGAATCAAGTTGCAGGATAGAGATCCCAAAGGCCCACTATAAATGAGTTGACCACCTCTTTTCATTAACATTAACTGCAAGGCAGGTATGAAAAATATAAAAAAAGTTATTATAAATGTGAAATCTGGTCTTGCATATATATAGATCCAACATCAAAAACCATGTAGTGAAAGATTTACCCAAAGGAAAGCGAATGAAAACATCAATCTCTTAATTACGTCAAACAAGTACATTAAAGGTTCATTTCTCATGTAACATGCTCTGGCTTGACCATAGAGAAAATAGGCTTCATCCCCTACTCAAATTATTAAATTCATTCCTGCTTACCTCCTAAAACTATTTTCAGTCTCATTTACCCCATGAACCATTTCATCCAATACCTATTACACTTACCATAAGAAAATTAATGGAGATTCCCCCCCTCCCCCCCCCCCTCAAAAAAAAAAAAAGGTCTCAGATTGTGACATGTGTAAAGTGGATTTGGGGTCTCCGTTATTTCCTAATGGCAAGTGGTACGTAAGTATTAAAAAATTTTGGGTTTTGCCTTTAAGCCCAAAGTTTTACCATGATTTATTTAAAAACCCAAGTACTATCATCTGTACCTCTAAACCCAAACAAGTTTGTGTATATCTCTTTAAACCCAATTGGTATAATTCATGATCAAAGTAGGTCGTATGCATACTTTTAGGAGGCAAAAACCCAAAATAACTCCAATCATTCAAAAACTCCCCCCCCCCCCCCTCTTCCCTCTTCTAAAAATACCACCTAAAAAGTTTGGAATTTGCATAAAACACCCTAAAATACAAAATTATAAGAAACACCCTAAAAATTTCAATCCAACAAATAGTACACTAAAAATCTAGGAATTACAAACATAACCCTTGAAAATTTTGCAATTTAAAGGTAACGCCTTGAAAGTTTCAACAATTGCAAAAAGCACCCTTATAATTTACAAAAACACCCTAATAAGATAAAAAATTACAAACATTCACAAAAAACACCTGTTTTTAAATTTTGATCACTTTAGGGTGTTTTAGTAAATTTCAAATTTTGTGGCTCTTTTTGCAATTTTTTATAAATTTCAAGTTGTTTTTTGTAAATTCCAAAAACTTCATGGGACTATTCATAATTCCTAGGTTTTAATTGTAATTTTGGAATTTTTAGGGTGTTTTTTTATAAATTTCTAATTTTAAGGGTTTTGCAGTTCAAACTTTTAGGGTGTTTTCTGCAAATTCCAAAAACTTTTTATAGGGTTGTTTCCTTTAACCACATACTGAAGAATCCCTAAATATATGCAAAGAAAGAGAGAGAGAATGGAGGGAGAGAAAGGTGTAAATTTTTAGGTTTTTTAGGGGGGGGGGCCACATAATTATGTAGTATATTAAGGAGAATGTGTTTAAAGACAAATATATAAAGTTATTTGGGTCTATAGGTATAAATAAAACAACTTGAGTTTAAAAATAAATCAGAGTAAAGCTTTGGGTTTAAAGGCAGAAACCCCTAAAAATCTAAAAGTGATAGTTCATGGGGCAAAGTGAGACTGAAAATAGTTCAAGAGGGTAAACAGGGTCACGAATTAACAGTTTAGGGGGGCAAGCATGTTTCGAAGCCGAGAAATTATCGAACCTTATACATACCTCATCGAAGGCTTCAAATATCTCAATGCTTGGCTGATGGATCGTGCAGACAACAGTGCGGCCAGTGTCCACAGTTTTTCTCACTGCCCTCATTACAATTGCCGCAGACCTAGCATCAAGCCCTGATGTGGGCTCATCCATGAATATAATAGAAGGGCTAGAAACCAACTCTACTGCAATTGTAAGTCTTTTCCGCTGTTCAGCGGACAAACCATTGACTCCAGGAATACCCACTATGGCATTTCTCAATGGCAATAACTCAACCAAACCCATAACTTCTTCGACAAACATCTAAAATTATAAGACAGTTACATGCATTTATATCAGTTTTCCGGTCCTCGCAACATAGGGTTAATTGCGGATAGCACCCCTCTACAATAGCCCAATTGCGGATAGACCCCCTTTACTATATATAGCCCAATTGTGGACCCCTGTAATTCTATCGGTGCGGACGGACCCCCTGAGTCAAAAAATTTAAGAGTCACTCAAGGGTTTTATCTGACTTGGGCAATTAGTATTAGGGGGTCTGTCCACAGACTCCACATCGATAGAAATACAGGTGGTCTATCTGCTATTAGGCGATAGTACAGGGGTCTATCCGCAATTAACCCCATACTATATTGATGAATGATATGCAAGTTACTTGAAAACCTACGTTTCTCTGATGTTCTTCAATGTTGGAAGGGAGGCGCAACCATGCAGAGAACTGTAAGGATTCATAAACAGTGATGAAAGGGGAGTGAACATCGGTTTGCTCACAGTAACCAGAGATCCTTGCAAATGTCTCTTGCCTTTTTGGATACCCATTTATAGTTATAGTTCCTTCAATGCATCCTCCAGTTTTCCTTCCTGATAAAACATCAAGCAATGTGGTTTTTCCTGCCCCAGTGACCCCCATCAATGCAGTTAAAATTCCAGGCTTAAAAGCACCACTCACATCCCGTAACAGCTGAAGCGTCTTCGCATTGAAGTTATGTTTCTTCATTGCCTTAATCACATGGAGACCAACATCAAATCATCATATTTTAGTGCGACTAAATTCTGGGATCTGAGTGTGAGATTCAACAAAATGATTAAGAAAAAAATACGAGTCACACTTACTGCAGGCATGTCGACATAGTAATTGATATGCTTGAATACAAGAGTCAGAGGTTTAAATGGCAGAACTAATTGACACTTGGGAGATGGTTCTCTAGCTGTTAGCTTATCGAGTTGTTCTGTCAATTGAGCGTCCTTATATCGAGGGTCTATGTTTACTTGATGCTTGAATAGAGCTGCAGCAATTCACAACTGATCAAGGAAAGTCCAACAAGGCAATTTAGGTAAAACAAATTTATGGAGGATTCATACGATTAAGATACTCCAATGCAAAAATGCTGAGAACGTTGAAGATCATAGAGTAACCAAGAAGAATTCCAACACAAATCCAATACCAGTGCCACTCGACCATAAGCCCTCTAGATTTGAGTATAACTTTCCCGGCAGTATTGGCATTAATGCCTTCATAATGAATTGGCTGCAGAAATAGAATGACGTTTTTAATAATCAAGTTGTCAAATATGATGCCCTTTTAAACATAAATATAACCATTGAAAAATGAAATAAAACGATCTTGCCTCAAACCACTGTTTGGTCATTGCAGTTTCATATTACCAAACATATCTAGACTAGAATTTTTATTTTCTGACAATTACTTGTATAGCTATACTAGATACTTATATAGGTATATTAGATACAAAAACAATATCGAATTAGATCTTTTGCCTTAACACAGACTACGTACCATGCTCCACCTTTCATCAAGAAATTCATTGAGTGTGACTGCATTCTGTGCGTAGGTCAAGGGAGAGGCCCAATATCCCCAGACAAGCCATGGTTGGATGTTGTCTGATTCAGTATATAAAAAACGAGGAGAAAATTATTATGTGAGCATTTCATCTTTTGGTATTTTTGAATAATTATCCTTATAAGCATCTGACCTTTTGATACAACGAAACCTCCAAGGATATAAATTGCAACCAAAGCTGCAGTTCCTAACGTGTTTGCCATCACTTGTGTTCTCCCAACAGCAGCAATAAAACGAAAAAGGGCCATTGACGTTTGATGCATGGAGAAGAATGCCAGAAACTGCTGCAAAAACCTGCCACAATGAGTATTTTCAAAAAGACATGTTTATTTATTAGTATCTTGTAACGCTTTAGGAACCTGACAAGCGAGAATATAGACATGACGGGATCTTCTACCTAATTACTGAAGGTGCATAGCCAATGGAAAAATATGTTAAGCATGTCCAAATGCCTGTTTCAATTATTGACATGGGAATACTTAGAATGACGATAGATGATAGTAGAGCCCATCCAGGCAAATTTAGCAGCTCCCTTTGTTTGTAAAAGATAGGAAGCCTGTTTATCATCATTTGGAGCTCAGTCATTCCATTGAACTTCACTATTACAACTCCAGCGAAGAGAGATCCCAATAACTTGTTTGCACTTTCCGCAGATACCTGAATCGTTTTCGTTTTTAGGAAAAGTGTCATGACAACTAAAGCCATTGTTGCTATTTGCATTGCCATGAAGATATGCAATGGATAGTTTCTCATGAACAATAGCACTTCTCGTGAAAAGCATGACTTAAAGATATTCCAACTGGATATAGTTTTGCTTCCTTTTGGTTGGGTCACCGTGCCACTTTCGTTCTTATCAGATGGATTCTGGAGTTTATCTTCGAGAAGCCGACCCAAATGAAAAGAGTTAAAAGATTCTACAAATTTTGAAACTGGAATATACTGGTACTCCCTTGGGATACCAGTCCAATATTGTGCCTGATCCATTTTTGAAGTAACCTGTTCAATTTTTCGGTAAATATCAGTACTATTTTCGGAAATAGTAAGTAATATTTTGATATATTTGATGGTAACGTAAAACTGTTTATTGTAAAGGTTGATGTTGTTCACTAAAAACAGATATAGATCATCACGAAGTACTAGGTAACCAGAAGAGGGCAACTGTCTAATGGAGAATTCAAGGGGTTGAACTAATGAGTCAACCTTGCCAAAATAGTATCTAACCTATGAAACTCTTTATAAGTAATCTTAAACCATTAATCTTTCCTCAACAATATCAGATACTCTTTGTCATCATTCAATGTTAAATATTCAAATTAAATCTGGATCAATAATTTTATATTTCCAGCTCTTTATTTAGAACTTGTCATGTGCTCATGCGTATATCTATGTCAGTTGTTCTTGTCCATGCAAAATAGCATGCAGCCTGTGATAGAAAAGAGAAAACTATATTAATGTGCTAGTTTTAACAGAGTTGGAATGTATTAAATGTGTAATAGAAGATTAAAAATATGGTTTACAATTGCCTTGAAACAGAAATATAAAGGCTAGTTTAGCTTCGCAGTTAAAAAATGTCTTAATGTCTGGCTTGGCTAGAAGGGTTAAAGGAGCAGGAGCGATGAAATTTTAGGAGGAAGAAAATGAGAGTTCAAGTCCCCTCAATATTTGAACTAATTACTCCAATGATGTGGAATTATATATACCAAAGCTCAACACTCTACGGTCAGAGAGCCTGTGGATAAATATTGTAATCAATGAAAATTTTACCCTTGAATCCCTATACCTTAACTCCTCATAATTCTTCTCCTCTCATCTTACCAGAGCTCAAAGGTTAGTAAAATTCCTGTGAGAGCAATGCAAGCTTGTATAATGAAATGGTAGAGTTTGGTTAGTGATACTCACATTTCTTGTCTCCAATCACATTCTTGTTTCCCAACCATGTAGCTGAGCATTCTTCTAGTCCTCCCATTACTGGTTTCTTAACCCTTTGCATCCCAGATCTCGGGAATAATGGGAGAAATGAGATTATTAGTCACTTTCTTTCTCTTTCAGATTATGAGATCTAAGGTGGTCGATCCTCAGTGGACACCCTTCACTCCTTGGAGTATTTTTCTTCAATTCATTTCTTTGAGAAAGATAGGAAGTCATCATTGACTCTAATCCATTTCCTCTGTTTTTTTTTTATTTTCAAACAGCTACATGAACTTTGAGTGTTTTTAACAAAACTACTATGAACATTTTGTTTGAGGTTTTAAATGTCGAATGTCGGGTTCATGTCGGACGACTAAAATTTATATCGGATAACGAAAATCGGGGATATATCGGGGGACATGAACTAAATATCGGATTGTCATATCGGGTGGTACGCATATGTATAATATCACGTCCTAAATGTAATCTAAGCATTCCTAAATTCAATATAAACGTACTTTATAAATTCTAAAGGTAGCGCCGGCGATGGGTGGATTCTGACATCACAAAGATGCAGTACCGGCGACGGGACATCACAGGGAGGCAGTGCTAGGGCTCTTCTTCTTCTTCTTTGTCTGCTCAGGGTCCTTCGGATGAGTCACCGATCATCCTCTTTCCTTTATCCCGATGACAGGATACCCTGTCGCCCTCATGTTCGGTTAGGGTTTGGATTTTGGGGTGCAACGGGAGATGGATGACGGGGTCCGAGATGGAGGTGGGAGAATGGCGTCGTTCACGAAAGAAGTGATCGGTTCCCAAGTTCGTTGTAGCCCTAATATTTCTCTTTTCTTTCTATCGGGTTCATAAGAAACCCTTAAACATGAGAACGGGTTAAACGGATTTGGGTTTTTATCACTAAACTCAAACCCGATAACAAAAAACAGATCTAAAAAAAGGGTCATATCGGCCGATTTTTCAAGGCTGAAAAATCGGCCGATATGCCCGATATAGCCCCGATATTTCCGATTTGACCCTGAAAATCGATATATGAGTTGAAAACGGCCATGTCGTGTCGCTCAAGCTATTAAACCGACATGTCGGCCGACATTTAAAACCTTGCTTCAGTAAACTACTATGTCGTAGGACAATTTGGATAAGTTGTCACGTTCTTTGCAAATGACATTTTCTGGAAAATTTGTCATACACACTTTCTGTATGCTTTATATTACTCTTATGAACTTTGTGGGTTAATAGATACAAGTGTTAATTGTGGAGAGACCCCTGTACAGTCGCCCAATTGCAACTAGAACCCTTGTAGTTCTATTGTTGCACCCCGAGTGAAATTTTTCACTCTTTTACTCTCAGGATGCTTTTTTGTCAAGAAATAATTTTCTCTTTATCTAAGGGTTAAAAAGTCAAAAAATTTCACTCAGAGGTCCATCTGCAACAATAGAACTACAGACATCTATCCGCAATTGAGCAATAGTACAGATGGCCTATACGCAATTAACCCTAGATACAAATAAGGGCATTCTAGAACGTTTGTTCTAACACTTTAATTCCATTAGCAACCAGTTTCAATAATTTATGGTATTTTTTCTGCAGTTTTTTTAGTTCATGACGGTTATCTCTAATAAAAGAGTGGCAGTTTTGTGCAAACCTCCCAAAGAGATTGGTGTCTTTTTTTCTTTTCTTTTTTTTTTTTTTGTAAATCAAATTCTTATGAAATATGGAGAATATATTCTTCCAATAAACCGGGGAAGGGTAATAAAAAATATAGACCATAAATTCTCAAATTAAGTGCAAATAGGAGCAGTGTGCAGAGACCCATTCTATATTATCAAGCTTTAGAAGATCAAATGAAAATGACTGTCACATAACTTGGTTCAAAGAACTTTTCAGCTACTCTATGCTTAGTCCTTAAGGGGAGGGTTATATGCAACTTCCCTTCAAATGGAACAAAAAATAATTAAAACTTGATATAAATACCTCTTGAAGGAAGTCTGCTGTGTTCTTCCTCTCCGAACACTTAAAACCCATGTACTCAAAAAATTCAAGGACATTCTCCCGAGGACCTTGATATACAATTTCCCCCTCAGACAGGAGGATAATATCATCAAATAGTTCGAATGTCTCAGGTGGTGGCTGAAGTAAGGAAATAACCATGGCAATATCCATCAAGTGCGCCATTTGACTAAGAAACCTAATAATCTCAAAGGTGGTGGAGCTATCTAAACCATTCGATATATCATCCATGAAGAAACTTCTTGCAAAGCTAACTAGCATTTCTCCTGCGAGGCAGAGATACAACTTAGGTTCCCAAATATTGAAGACATGAATAAAAAAATTCACACTGAAATTTAGAGGGTAATGATGTATTTTATTAGTGTTATGCTAGTAAGGAAAGGCAAACAATACCTTTCAAGAAGATCTTTTTCCTCTGTTGAAGCCAAGTTTATTCCCAAAACTGACATAATTTGTGATAACCTTTCTGACGTATATTTGTTTATAAAGAAAGAGTAAACATAACCAGAACATGATGATTAGGACAGATACATTATAGTTAGCTTTTTGGTCACAATATATATGTTTGCATCAATTTATTTTGTCATTAAAATTCTTTAAATGTTTTAACTACTAAAAAAAGCATGCACATGGGTTTGCACGTGCGCACATGTGAACAAGTAAAATAGAACGTACAATTTGGTACGGAACCTTGAACATTATTTTGAAAAAAAATCCTCCGGATTTAGACCAAAATATGGTTGCATGACTGTAAATCCTCCCATTTTACCTAGATATCAAACATTTAAATAAATATCTTTAGCTGCACTTAAACCAAAAGGACACAAGCGAGACACTACTAATAGTTTTGAATATGATCAATGTTTTCTTTACTCGATTTTTCATACCACATACCATATGTTTATTCATCAATTTTATATACAACATGCAAACCTACACAAATAAATGTGTGTGAGAAGTTGAGTATAGTTGGCACCAAGCACAAAATATGTTCTTGGTGGTGACGTGAATGCTTCTCATACATACATTTAAAGTGTCCATTTAAAAATGATCCTCACTTGTATATCCACTCATTAAATGAGTGGATAAGAAGTGGTCACATCAATATCAAGCACCAAATTTGGTTCTTTGTACCAAGCATACCCATATTCCTCAATATAAGAGAGAGAAATGAGTATCCTCAGTACTAAGAAAAAACTTGGTTCTTGGTGGTGAGCTCACTCATTCTAATCTATTCATTTGAATGGCCCGCATTTGAAAATGATCTCCTCCTTAAAAATGAGTAGATAAGAATGAGTCACCTCATTACCAAGAATCAAATCTGGTCTCTGGTATTAAGGATACCCATATTCATTGGTCTCCCTCCACCCACCCCTCCACTCTGCGTGTGTAAAGGAATCCTAAGGTGCCAATTTTGATTCAATCTAATATGACACCTCAAATTAAACTATCCCAATGCACGATTTGCTCCATTATCATGATCTAAATGTTTCAAAGCATCTACAAAACTAAAATCATGATGTTTCGATACTTCTAACACATTATTTCAATGTTTCTTTGGTTGTATTATTGTAAAACTGTTAATATTACAATCACTTGATACATGAGTAACTATAACCTGATGTCTAATTTTTTGTTTGTATATCATCCAAAATATATAGATCAAAATGAACAAAGTGGATCATGAATCAAGTAAATTGATTGCATATAACTTAGTTTTGAAGGTGTCACTTGATTGAATGTAAGGTGGCACCCTGTGATACCCCGACACGGCCAAATTGGTCCCGTACTCGTGTCGGGTAGGTTTTGGGTATGGATCCGCACCCAAACGGCAGGGACACGATGATTTCACGAGTGAGAGAAAAAAATAAACACAAAATTCTAAATGCAGGAACCCTAGAAACCAAAACCCTAGAATCCAGACCTGAGCTTAGTGGGCTTGGGCATGCGGTGGTTGGGGATGAGAGTCTTCACGTCGTCAGCGGGGTAAAACTTGGGCGGCTTCTCGGAGGGCTTAGCGGGTTCGGGTTCCTTATCGTGTTTGGGGAAAGACCTGCTGTTTTTTGCCTTGATCGCCCACATACCTCGCTTGTGGTGCATTTTCGAGCGTGAGAACTTGTTGATCACTCGAATGAGATCTGGGTTCCTGGATGAAACCCTAGCGGTTTTGCGAGGGGCCATTTGATGGAGGACTGACGAAACCCTAGAGATTAGCGAGGAGAAATGGGAGGAGGCAATGAAGACGGAAACTCTAGCGAGAGGTTGAGGTTTATATAGGGAGGGGTTTGGGTTTGGGTTTTTTTTCATTACTTGACTTTTATTTTTTTGAAATGGTTGGGCGGGCTGTTTAAGCGGCCCGCTTAGGTCCGGGCTGATTTGGCTTTTAATGCTTGTATTTGTTTATATAGGTAATAATACTAGTTCTAAATTTTTAATTAAAGTAAAAAATAGCTTTCTATTTCTTATGCAAGGAATATAGTTTTAACTTTTGGAATATGCTAGTGAGTTGCAAGTTTTTGAGATATAGAACTAACTTTTGAAGGTATATTTACAACTTTAAACAATATACTTGTAATATTTTGAGAGATGCTTGTAATATTTTGGGGTATATTTACAAATGTAATAGGTATTTAATTCAATATTGATCTAAAGTGAATTATTTTATATATATACAGTCGTGTCCCCGTACCCTACTTTTTACAAATTTGTCGTGTCTCTACGCAATGAGATATGCCCTTGGATTGTTGTAAAGTATACACTATTATCATTCTATTTGGCTCCAATGAATTTTTAAAATCAATATGAAAACAATTTATACAATGAACACAATGTATGGAATAACTAAAGAGATCCATCACATAATAAATTAGAATACGAAATATTATTATAAGAATGCTTACCAATTGTAACTCGTTTCTTTTGTCCTCCTGAAATCCCTCTTCTCATCTCATCTCCTATAGTGATACCGGCACACTCTTTTAACCCTAGTAACTGAAAACAATCATTTTTATCAAAATAGATCAAATAATGCGAGTCTACTAAGAAAAGAGTTATGAAGAGATATATTGTTAATTGTGTTTGCAATGTTTCAAATATCTATGATGTGTTTCGCAAACATACTGTTGATTGTATTGATCCTACATGCATCCACAAAGATGCAGTATGCTTAATTCATATATTTAGGTTCATTATCTTACTAAATACTGTCATAAATGTGTCCCTCAGCATATTATGATCCTAACATCTCTACTTTATCATGCAACGACCATTAAATAATCTAATAAATAGATTACTTAACAAAGTAGTAATAATTTTCTAAAACTTATATTAAAATTATATAGTATGTTTGAATAATCCAAATTATGAATCTTCACTAAGCTGCTGGATTTATACCTTCAAGTTCAATCAACATTTCTTATTAGATTTATATGTCCAAATAGATCTTAGAATTTATAATGAACATCAATAGTTCTTATAGAATTTAACCTCAGTATGACCAGCTGCACTCGTACTTCTACATCTTAATAAGCGTCCAAATAATTTCTCTAAACATTTGATTTTACATCAACATTTGCAAAGTTTACCCTAAATTACCCTAAACAATGGGGGTTTTGCACAACTTAAAAAATATTTTTATTGGAGGAAGCTGCTATGAATTTTTTTCACAAATTATCATGCTTGGTGATACTTAGGGTGTCATATTACGTGTTTTGCACATCACATGCTTTGGATAATTTTTGTCCTTATATACTTTATATATTATTCAAGGTTGAAGAAAGTGCTAGGCAGCCTAGGTGTCCGACCCTCATCTAGAGCCTAGAAGTCTAAGCGGGTCCAAGGCATTTTTCTTTTCTATTCTTCAATAACAACCAATCTTATCAAAAGCGCTAGGTAGCACTAGGTGCCAAACTGGGCCCTAGAACCTAGCACTAGGCCTAGGGGATTTCTTTTTCGTTTAAGTAGCGACGGAGGAGGTTTTGCTGAAGGTCAGAGGAGTTGGAGGAGGTGTTCGTAGTTTGTGCAAGAGCCTAGGTGGGAGCTTTATAAAACATTAATATTATCTATAATACCCTCTCTCCTTCACATATTTTTAAGCATAGTGCAGATGTTTTATACAAGGTGTCATGTCCTACGCAACAATAAGCCCTGGTTCTTTTTAACAATTCTGAAAGTTCAAGGTAGTTTTTGCTATAAAAAAAGTTTTTTAATAGTTTCGTGAAAGCCCCCCAAACATTCATGTTAGTTTTTGAAATTTACCGTAAATTGTTTGATTATGGTAGGACTTTAAACTGTAGGATGACAAAAATTTTAAACCACTGAATCTGAAGCTTTCCGTTTATATTAGGATGACAAGACATTCTATTATAATCACACATTCTTATTGGATTGAACTTGTACTCACATAAATTTTAGAAGACTGATTAACTAGATCCAAGGTTAATTTATGGTAAAAATATGGAGAAAAGATAGCGCTAGGACTTTAAACTGCATAGCTCTTGGTGGTTTCTCAAAAGTGAAGCTATTTTTCCTAGTAAAGGACTATATAAATTTATGATAGTGTACACAAACAAGTTCATGGTAGTTTTTTAAACAACTAAAGTTCATAATATTTTCTTGAAGTTTAGCCTCATCAGACTTATGATAAACTAATGACCATAATTTTATCACAGTCACACGATCAAAATTATATAACCTAATTATATGTAATGTGACTACTTCGTTTGAATTTCTTTAATGTAAATATATAAGATCTTACCTTGATAATGTAATCAACGATCAAGTTAACCCTTCCTTCACAAGTAACAGAATTATTTGCCTTATCCAATTTGTTGATATTTGCACCCAACGATCCTGAGATAAATATGACCAGATAAGTATTGAAGCAGATATACTTCAGGATAATCTAAGAATATTAGTGTTTAGGTTGCTTTGTTTCTATTGTACAGGTGTATACATATAAGTAAACACATTTCATTTGATAATGATAGTACCCCTATCCCTATGATAAACTTCATGAGTAGTTAACATTGAAGTATTGATATCTTATATCTATATTATATTTAAACGCTATCCCAAAATATATCTATATTATATTTAAATGCTATCCCAAAAGGTGAATAGTATGATCAAAGGACACCTAAATACACACCAAGCGTGCCACTTCATTTTTTTTGCCAATGTGTCACATCAGTTTGCTCTCAAACATCATATTTATACAGCATCAAGTTACATAGAAGTTTATGTTGTAACACATTATACCTGTCAAATTTTCTTCTATAAAAATGTTAATCCAACACCAAAAGTTTTTTTTTTTTTTTTTTTTTGAAATATAGAAAAACAGTTATGATATATCATGAAAAATCATAGATGATTATTCCTAATAGGATATTTTAATCAAATAAAAATATGAAGCGGACACTTACTGAACTCATTGTTAGTTCCAAACATGTGGCTACAGAAATCCAAAGTTTCGCTAACTGTCATCTCAGCATGATGCAGATCATATTGGCTTATATATACGCACGTGTGTTGTGCAGATGGACCGGGCGGGTTCTTATTGTAGATAACTTTTCCAGTGCACTAATAAACAAGAAAATCATTTACAACGAAAAAGTTACGAACAGGATGAAGCTAGCATAGAAAAAAGTATATAGCATACAGAATTTAGTAAAATACCACTTTAAAAATCATTATGGAGACATGATCAACACAACAATTTGCAATATAGGAATTGATATATGCTACAAAATTAAAACAACTCCTTATAAAGAAAAATTAAAAGCTATTTAGTAAATCCAAGTGTTGTGGAATAAATTATTTGTCTTGTGATTCTTCGAGTTTTGATCCTTTTACTAAATCCAATTGGTTTTCTCCATTTCTACTCCCCTCTCTTCATACATCTTTATTTTGTTTTAGTTCCTTTCATGTCCCTTTGCTTTCAGAATATTCAATAGCAAAGAGCAAATTGATGACGTGAATGATTTCATAATCATATGATATGTGATACGCTTTTCCCTCTTGAAGATAACATTCCAAGATGCTGCCAAAATGCTGGAGTAGATTTTCAAATTGATGAAGATTTTATATTTAGATTGGGCAGGAAACTGTAAGGTTACAGATCACTTATAAAGCAAAATGAAGATTATGACCATATCAATGTTTGTTTTCTCATCAAAATGCAAATTCAAATAAAATAAAATTTTAAAACTTGGTACTCATATTATCTGAATATAAAAAAGATAAAAGTCATATTTATATATTAGACAACTTTAATGACAAAATTCAAAGAGAAAGAGGAGTTATGCCCAAAGTTGTAGTGCCTTTTCTATGTGACTATATTTGAGAGTGTAAGATTTCACCGTACGTGGATCCAGAATATCTAAGTGGTGTCAGCTTATAATTAATGCCTAAAAAATAATAATATCTGTCTCCAATGAGTTTTAATGTTTTGAGAAAATACATAATCCAATAATTAGTGAATTATCATGTACACCAGTAGTAACACTATCAAATACATACAAAATTGCACTGAAACTTCAACTCGTAGGGTATATAAGGAACGCCTTGAAGGGAAGTGATGTCATGTGACACCACTTCCTCTAAGGTGGAACCACCACCACTGGATTCAATGAACTTTTCGATCAAGATGTAACATTATACAACACTAAACATTTTTGTAACATTTGTTCACTTGGATAAATTTGCCACAATATCAGCATGTACCGTCACTATATCTGTATCCATAATTTAAACGGATATCATAGACATCCTTTTGGTTATTCTGAAACTAAACGATGAAAAAAAAAAAACTTACTTCAACAGAAGAACTCAACTTTCCGGACAAGGCTCTCAACAGCGTTGACTTTCCTGATCCCGGTGACCCAAGAAGAAGTGTCATCCTACGATGCTTAATCACATTAGCTTTTTGGACGACAAAAGTAAAATAATATGAAAATAATTAGCTAGAAAAAAAATTAATTCTGAATGAAATATAATTAAAAGGATAAAGTATATCCAAAAATTCTATTCATAGCATGGTGATATGTGTGTGTATGCATATATGTAAGTGGACGTGAGGATCTCCCATATACGTGTGTGTACATATAAAGAGGGGAATCGTCGTGCTGGCTTTACGTCTAGCACCTTCAACTTAAAATATATTGTTACTTTCAGAAAGGGTTTCTTAAATATTAGTCCCTTACACTTTTGACATTTTGAAATCAGCCCCTCGAATCATTGGAATTATTATTGTTATGTCCTCAAATTCTTATAAGTTGTTATAATTTTATCCCTCAAATCAAGAATTTGCGTGCAACATATAAGAACGTGCGTAAGGGCAATTTCAATGATTTGACGGACTAAATTCAAAATTTCAAAGATTTAAGGGACTCATACGAAAAGCCCATATCTCAAAAGAACACCTCCATCTTCCTCCCCAAATCCCACCGTACCCCTCAGTGCATGTTTACAATGACTAGCACAAAAAGAATATTAATACGCCATCGGTACAAGAACTAAATGATGAACAAAATTAGGAATAGAAAAATTAAACCAGTACAGTGAATTAAAGACAACAGTGATCATTACATTTGCTCCATGGGAGTCGTCGAGGATGAGGGCGACCTTGCAGGGCTCAGTAGGGCCGAGGAGGGGGAGGAATAGCAGAGATTTTGACGCCATTACGGTGGTGGGTTCAGAGAGAGGAGGAGGGGAGGAAGATGGAGGGGGTTTTTTCGTGTTGTCTTATCGGAAGGGCTTTATGTAAAGGGCGTATTTTCACTTTGGTGCTCCAAAGTTTACTCTTTTGTCAATTTGATACCCCAAAAGTACGAACACTTGGATACTTCGAAGTTCAATCAATCTCATCTCAGTTTGATACTCTCCTCCACCGGATTTCTTTAGACTTTTCTGCATTAATCTTGTTAGCTTTTTCCTTGATGTTTAATATATAATAAACTTAATATCTTTAACATATTGCAGTAATTACTTCTTATTATAATTATTTAATAGGGTAAATTATATAAACCCTTATGAACTTTTAGCCCCTACAAACTTTCAAAATCACATTAAACCCCTAATTACTTTTCTGTTTCAAAGAAAATCCCCCAATAACTTTCTAAAATTTGCAAATAACCCCTATGAATTAGAATCCAAAAATAGCATAAAAAGGCATTTTAAAAGTTGTTAGAGATTTGATGTAATTTATCTAAAAGATATTGGGGGCTTACAAAATTTATTAGGGGTTTAGTGTGATTTTGAAAGTTCATACGGTCTATTTACTATAAAATGTCGAAAGTTCATGGGGTTTACTACATTTACCTTATTTAATATTATAATTCTCAGTTCAAGTAATATTACTAATATAAGTATACTATTTGATTACTATAAAATATTTATCTAATTTAATTTTTTTAATTATACACTTAAATAATTTAGTACTATAAATATTTTATAATTTTTTATTATATTATCATTAATAATTAATAGAACTATTATAATATTAAATAATTTTTTTGAAAGGTTAGTTTTCAATCATTACTATGTATAGATTATTCAGTAACATGTAATAATCTTTGAGCAAATACTCAAAAAATAACATTAAATTATTTATTCAATTTATGTAATATTATAATACTAAATAAATAGTGGAATTCATAATTTATGTGATATCACTAAAATAATTACACTATTTATGCGGTTAAATAATTATTCTATTTATTTTATTGATCATAGAATTATAGAATAACTCTTAATAGTATTTAATAATATGTTATTCTATTTGTACTATTGTTTTAATTATTTTATTATATTTCCTAAATAATTATTATAATAATTAAATTGGTTATATTAGTAATCGTGTATTATGATTTTATAAATTATTTTATCATATTAGTTTTAAACAATTAATAGTTATAATGTTATTGATAATTATAATTATTTAGGAACTTGAGGAGGTTCATAATTAATAAGAGCTTGTATTTATTTGATGATAGCTTAATTAGACATACTGGTATAGTTAAAGTCTATCAAAATTTGGGAGGGTGAAAAAAGAAAATTTGAAGTTTTAAAGCTTCAATTCTCTTTTTATAGTAGTATTGTAGTATAGATTAGCACATCAGATGTTGTCCTCTCGTCCACTACTACTAAAAGCACTAAGATTGTTTCGATCCTTTCGGGGTAAAACGTGGTCTAAGTATAATATAAATTTATAAAAAAGTTATCAAGATCCAAGTGAAGGTATTAAACTAAAATGAATTGAAATTTTGCGACAACACTGCCGCTGGTAGAAGTACACCTATCATGGCAAAATAGGAGAGGGGAGAAAAATCTCCTTTCGCTCGTAATTGGAAATCCATATTGGATCGACCGCAACAACCGAAAATATCGCAACGGGATTAGTCACAGCCCTAAGTTCACACTTCACCCTTTTTATTGGTATTGGCTTCGATTTTCATTTTCAATCAGGTAATTCTTGCTTAAAAATCAATACTTTTGTAGTTTTATTATTCAAATAGATATATTGATGGTCCTTGCATCTTGAAATGTAAAAGGTTGTTGTATTAAACAGTTATATTGTTTAATTGGGATTAGGGGCTGTTTGGATAGGCTTTTTTGGGTGGTAAAAAAGGAGAAAGCTGTCAAAAATGTCAGCTTTTTGGCAGCTTTCCCCCAAAATCACCTTTTTAAGAGGTGATTTTGGGGGAAAGCTGCCAAAAAGCTGACATTTTTGACAGCTTTCCCCACTTTTACCACCCAAAAAACAGGAACCAAACAGCCCTTAGGGGCTGTTTGGTTGTATGTTTTTACCATGTAAAAGGATGTAAAGTGTAAAAAAGTGGGTCCCAATGTCAGCTTTCATCACTTTCAATTGTTTGTTTGTAGTTGTGAAAATAGTGTAAAGTGATTTCATATGCTGATGTGGCTTGTAAAGTGATTTCATGAAAAAAAGACATGATTTTAGGAGAAAGCTAACATTGAAGTTAGGAAAAAATAATAAAAAATAATTCCAACCAATATGATCATTTGAGTATGGACCACTTTTTACACTTTCCAAACAAACAATTAAAGTTTTATTTTGCAAACCAAACAAGTGTTTTATGATTCCAATGGAATCAAAAACAAACAAAGAAAAGTATAAAAGTGAAATTGATGAGGTGGACAACAACTTTCCAAGTTGTGTCATAAATACACAACTTTACCAACAACAACCAAACAGCCCCTTAGTGTTCTTCAATTGATGGGTCGAATGAAACTTCTTGCAAAGTAGAGAAAGGGTAAGAAATTGCGTTTTAGGTCAAAATAAGTGTGTGATGTACGACTCTGTCTTGTAATTTAGCATTTTTTAGTAATAAAGTTAGAACATATTCAGATTAGGAAATGAATCATGATTGATATTAAATTTGACTGATTAATTTGCTCAATCATACGGAATCTTTTTAAGGTAGTTTATTTTTGATACTTTCTACTTTTAGGAATTCATAAGTTCATAACCTATTAGGAGTATGTTATGTTTTCTATTTAAACAAAAGAGTTTTTGTTAATGTCGGTTATCGATCAGAGGGTTTATTTGTAGATTTCGAGGGTGTTAGGGTCCTCAAGCTTTCTCAGATGGCTAGTTCTTATGCACGACGTTCTATCCTACACATAGGGGTGGCAATTTATGACCCGACCTATTAACCCGACCCGTTTATAATGGGTACGGGTCAAATTATATGGGTCAGGTCATAAACGGGTCAACCTAAATTTACTCATTTATTAAATGGGTCAATTCGGGTTGACCTATTGACCCGTATAACAAAAATCCCAACCCGTGTAAACCCTTCGTTCCCTCACTCCCTCATAAGCGCGCCGCTCTAGAGAAAGAAAAAAAAAGCCACAGGGAGAAAGAAAAGCCATGGCCCTTCAAAATCCCACTATGGTATCAGATGTTAACTCTGCAGTCGCTTCTAACAAAACGGTGTCCAGCCCAGGACAATCCCACGAGGCATTCATGATCAACACCGAACAAATTGCCAAAATTCTCGAGGATGCCCTAATCAAGCAGAAAGAGGCATTCAAGATTGAAATGGAAATGATTATGCAGCGGATGAAGGAATAGCACGACCAACAAATTCGGGCTCTGTCTAATCAAATTGGCGAATCCAGCCGTCGTAACACTGCTAAGCAAGCAGGTAGCGATTCAGATGTGGATGAACGCCTTAATGCTGATAACCCTCCCATTGACCAAAACGCTGAGGGTGGCTCCACTAAAGATAACAACGCTGGGGGTGGTCCCACCGAAGACGACAACGCTGGGGGTGGCCCCGTTATTCCCCTTAAAAATCGTCCTAGGTCCGATACGAGCGAGGATGAGAAAATAAAAGATCTCGAGAGCAAAATCAACGCTCTAATGTCTACTCGAGAGGTGAAAAGAACCGCCATTCCATGTCCTTATCCAAGAGAGTAAGATTCAATAGCATGCCTGGCGAAGTTCAACCTGATTAACTTCACTCCGTTTGACGGGAAGGGTTCGCCCACTCAACATCTGATCTACTTCAAGTCCCACTTAGGTATGATCTTCGACAATAAAGCCTTGATGGTTCGGTCATTTGTCGGCACCCTTCGCGGGCCCGCCTTCGATTGGTACCGCCGTCTTAAGTCTGGGAGCATCAGCAGCTGGGACGACCTAGAGAACTTGTTCCTCGCTCACTTCTTTGACGATGATTCCGATGTGTCAATCAGGACACTCTTCGATGAGAAGCAAAAAGACGACGAGATGGTCGACCACTTCGTCAAGTGCTTCCGGAATAATGCGATGAACTGTCGAGATCCGATCACAGAGGACTTCATCCTCCAAACTTATCACAACAACCTCTCTTTGGACGTGTTGGAAGTTATGGGAGTTGTACCGTCCAACACATGGAAAGAGTTGAAGATGCACGGAGAGCAGGCCGAACGCTTCCTCAGAAGGAAGAAAATCGAAAGAAGCCAACTGACGGCTAACTCTCCGAAATCAAATTTCACATCCCGTGGTAAAGGGAAAACATCTGCAGCAGCTGTTGACACTAATCAGATGTCGCAACAACAATCCCGGAGACAGCGAAATACTTCGGATCCGAGACTCTAAAAAGAGTACTCATTCAAGGACGAAGACATTCCAGCCATCTTCGAATCCCTCCTTGAAAACAACAAGATCAAGCTACCGCCTATCACAAAAATCAGGAGGAAGCTGACAATACTGTGGATCCAAAATACTGTGCGTACCACAGGAGGGTCTTTCATCCCACCAAGGATTGCTTTGCTCTCAAGAGTAGCATCCAAACCTTGGTTGAAGCCGGCATCATAACGCTGGGATAAGCCAGATGAGAACGGTAACACTCCAAAAAGTATAAGAGTATAAACTGCTCCTTCACACTCCAAAAAGTATAAGAGTATAAACTGCCCATTCACACTCCGAAGAGTATACGAGTATAAACTGCTCCTCAAAACTCTAACCGGTATATGAGTCTAAACTGTTTCCTTTCTTTCACGGGAAGTTCCTGGAGAGTGTTATGTCTGGTATTCTTAAGGATAACCCGGTCATTCAATTGAATACAATGATAAACCCAGTTTCGTAAAGAAAGTTGGGGGTAGGTGATTCATGTAACGGGGAAGTTCCCAGAAGAATATTAAATGTAATATTCTTAGGGATAACCTGATCATTACAAGCAAAGTGATAAACACTAAGCTCCCACTCAAA